ATTCCGTCGGAGTTTCATCACTCAACGCATTGACATTTGCAAATTTTTACACGTTTATACAGCTAATTGCAACATGAGGCGCGATCGTGGTATTTCAGTGTAGCGTTATCAATTTAGCGACACTGCCGTCTGCAACTTCAAACTACGTCATCATGCATATCAGAATGTTTTGCAATTTTTGTATATCTCTATTTTACTGATTTCACGCTGTGATTTATCGCAAAAGCGTAAAAACTAGAATCAAGGCTCGCAAAGAGTTTTATAACTCGCGGAGCGTCGAAATTTCGCGCGCCTGCTACGCCTCTTCGAAAAACTTGCAAGTTTGAAAACAATCTTTGAGCGCATCTTCGCACGCATTCGGATTTACATATCCGTTCATTTACGTCCGCCTGATTTTGAATCATGAAGCTCGCTCGCTCGCTCGCTCGCTCGTTCTCACAAATATCTCTCGAGAAACCGTCTCAAGTTTAATGTGCGCATATATGCACATTCGCGTGAGACAGCTAGACACCGACAAAACCATCTGCAATCTTACACGTGGCTTGTAGCTACAATCCCGCGACTTCCATCATACACAATTCTGTGTCCTCGTTGTCTCACGTTTCTACTTGCCGCAACGCTGCCCCCTCGACCCGTCGCGAATTCCGCCGAGCTTCGGCCCGCTAGCGCCTATCGCATCAAAATTTCGCAATCCAGCTGGTATGGTCATTAGCCTGTCGCACGCATGTACGCGGATCGTGCGTATGAATCAACAGCGGAGATAGGCTGATAAAGAGAAAGAGATAGAAGCGGAAACCATACACGAGATATTCTGGTATTAAGCTTCCTAAGGCCATTAAGCAAATTGGGTGAAATTATTTTAGATAAAAAAGTCAAACCCAGTAACAAATTATGTCAAATTAAAATCAAATTAAGATCAAATTAAAGTCAAATCATGTCAAATTAATTGTACAATTAACTATATGGATATTATTGCAAAACATTAATTATATTGTCAATAAAATAATATTGCACAACACATATAATTGGATGAAAAAAGTGGAAGAAAAATTAAAGTCTAATTATTTCAGAATAAATATATAAGGATTAATCAGAAATGTTAAAATATGCGATCGCGTCAGGCTTGAATGAGACTTTTGAAGGCTACCATTTCACATCTCAATGTAAAACGAGGGAATTAAAATTTCGTGGCGTGCCTCGAAGAAGCAACATGCGAGAGACAGCGGCGCGAAAGGCGCGCGTGAGCGAGATCGTGGGCAGATCGAAGTGCATCGCGGCGCTTTTCTCTCACGCACCGTCGGCGAATCATTATTTCTGCGCTCTCGCATCGGGCACTTAAATCATTATCTAACACTTGTTCAGGCACAAAGCGCGCGAGATATTTTATTGGCCGCGGCGTGCGACGCACGCCGTTCTGTTACAATGCTATTTAAGCCGCGTGCAAACTCGAGCACCACGCGCGCGTTAAGCCGACACGCTCGTTCTACTTTTTGCGCGGTAACACTAGCAAAACTTTCGACGCAAAACAATTCGCGGGCGATAGCGTACGCGCGCGATAACGAGCCAATAGACATCGAATATGAATAAAAGAAGCGCACGCTTCTTTTGCGCGTTATATTTGAATGAAAAATTAATCATTGAAAGTGCAAGTGTTTTGCGCCGCGTAATAGCTACTTATATCCGGAATATTTTAAATGCGAAGGAGGGTGAATGGATGCGTATCCGTGTGACAGAACGTAACCGTTAGAGAATAGGTGATCAATGGCGTGAACGCTGATTGGGCGGCACATGGCGATATTTAAATGGCACGCGATCGTTGCAACAGATGTGAATGTTAGCTTTATCCTTATATAATTCAATAATCATACGCTGTATGATGGCACACAAACATAATAGCGATACGCGACGTGTTCGAGATTTGACTCATATTAACGAGAAGTAGGCCATTACTTTTAGGTCAGACAATATCCGGTTAGAATCTATTACAGCGACCAACATAGAACTGTGAGAGCTGCGCGTAGAATAGCATTTCCAAGTTTCAATGATGTGCAATTGACGTTTCGATCTCGTCACATTTCGCATTTCGCAAGAAATTGCCCGAGCTAACGCGAGCATTTTATTTTACCGATAGAAATCGTGGAAAGTGGATATCGGAAAAATTTTTTGAAGGAATTGTACTCCGTCCTGTTTCCGCTTGGAGGAGCAGGGTCCAGTCAGCAGCCACCGGAGGCGACTCATCGCATGCTTGCTCAACTGCGTATACGCGACTTTACATGCTACTTACGTATATTCACCATGGCGCCCATTAACGGCGAGCAGCGACGAGGAAAGAAAGGAAACGATTTTTCGCGCCCAAGGACTCTCGCCGCTTAATAGAAATCTTTAATGTACAGGTATCTCAAAAACGTTGCGTTGCGACACGCGGCAAAAAACAAGGGAAAAGAACAAGCAATCACCGGAGAGTAGCATTACGTTATTTTCAGCTCTCTCGCCGCACAGTAACAAACAATTGCACGAACCAAACAAGGTCGCGGATAATTAAGTCACGCCGCTGTTTTGACACATCTTACAACATAATATTGAACCCGTGCAACTTAATCGGCTAACTTGTTGTCTTCGGAAAATTCTAAATAGATCTCAGACGGACGTCTGTTCGCATGGATCTGCGTTTGCCACAATTAATTTCACTACATTCACTATATTATCGGAGAAACGGAGCGTGTTTCATTTATCTCGATGTGAGATTTAAAAAAAAATATATATATATAAACCGGTAAGATTAATCAAAATTAACTTGCCATCAACGTCTTCAGATTTCAGAGACAAGATTCGCGAGAGAGTGAAGGGAGCGAGCTCGCGTTTCGCGAAAGGACGATGCTCCATGTCGAGCGACCGGGTGCACGAGTCGCGAGGAATTTCGGGGATTCGCCGCGAGATTCGCAGACGACGACGGTTTTTACGGCTGCTTGGCAACGAGGCCAGGCACCTAGCCAGACGAGCCAGCCAGCGGCAACCGGAGGCGCCTACCGCGGATCCGACGATCCGTTGAGGTCAGAGCCCCTCTCACAAAGAAGGGCCCCTCCCTTGGCGCCCTCGAACGTTTATACAGGGTGTCTCGCTCCCGCTGATGTTGCCGCGGCAACCGCGTGCGATGAAAGGGAACGGCTTGTCTGTCGCACTTCGAAGTTTGCACGATGGGATCAGCTGATAATATCGAGAACGAGCGGATTACGAGAACGAGCACTGATAAAAACGATCAATCTTCCTTAGCCGCTAAGAGACAATTAAACCGAGAAATTTTTCACAGTTTTACTGCGATATCGATTCAATGTTCGAAATTAAATCGCGTGGAATAATAAAATGTTATTTGAACATAAGAGGCGAGGAGAGACGGTGCGAAAAGAAGCGATTAAAGACGTTGGAAACACAAATGTACTGATGGCAACTTTTGCTACACGCAACATAAATAAATGCCGTTTGTTTTTACGACGTTTCGTGCACTCGCGAGCGAAAAAAAGGATCGCCTACGTGCTGATACAACTTATTTAAAAGACAAGTCTGGATTTTACGTTTGCACAATTAAAATTCGAGTATAACGGATCAAATTTACAATTTTTTGTGTGTGCGCGTACGCGCGCGCGCGCGCACGTGTGATAGAAGTATGCTACGATAATAATTAAATCACTTGTTAAAGCTCTTGATAGATAGCAACTACGATAAATGAAGTCAAGTTGACTCAAGGTTCAAGAATGAACATGTGTTTTTTCAATGGCAAGATAGGACAGCTTTTTCGCACGCCCGAAACATTTTTCCGGTCAATTTGCAAATTTAAAATTCATTCACGAAGACGTAATATAAATGTAAAGCGATCGCAGAACACAAGGCCGGGATATTAATAGAAATTTAGTAGCTGTCATTTATTGTTAGTGATGTCAATTTAGATAATGGCTGCTCGTTTTTTATTTAATATTTCGTCACGAATAATTTTATGAAATATTAGTGCGCGATTTGTTAGAGCGCGTTATCAGTCGAATCCGCGTTTTTAATCAAAGATTTATCCCTTCGAGACAACGCGAATTTTCTATCGATTCCTCAAATCGTTTTCAGCGTTCGCGAGCGCAATTTCACGAGGTGCGTGCATCAGTCTGGTTTCGCCGTGCTGTTAATTTCGTCATCGTGCGCGACCTATGACCGACTTGCGACACCCAGCAACGCGAGATTTTTCGCACACCGAGGCCGCCGAGGCCAGTCCCAGTTTCGCATTCCGCGATTCCCGTCGTTTTACGATCGCGCACGCAAGAAGAAGGGAAAAAAAAAACATATCTTAAAGCACGATGTCATAAACAATTTCGAAACTCGCCGTTTACGCGGAATCGCGCGCGTGAATGCCGTTTTACAGTTGGATTCCGCGAAGGATGTTGACGATTGTCCGCACGAACGTCGCGTGAACGTCAACGGCGTTCCCACACATAAGCGCGAACGATCGGACGATCCGAATAGAATGAAGATTCAAAAGTTAACTCACCCATATGAGCGAGGTCGATGATCGGGATTTCGCACTTGCTGAGAAGAGTCTCGCAAGTTTGCGTGACCATTGGCGCGCTGGTGCAGCAGCTCATCCTGACAACTAGGCTTGGAGTCCTCCTTGGAAATCAGTCGAGTCCTTTTACGCCGGATTCAACCAGTCCTCTTTTTCTCTCTCTCTATCTCTCTCCCTCTGCTCTTTCTCTTTCTTCTCGCGACGCTCTCGTACCAACGGCTCCTCGACTTTCTCTCTCTTTCTCTCTTTTTCTCACCGTATGCGGCACAGCGAGAGCGATGGCAAAAAATAAGCCACTTCACACTTCGCGACTCGATCACCCGGTATAGACGCTCGCTACGGGAGACTCACTGGAATATCCAAAAGAAGATCATACTATCACTGCACACCGATCTGTGATCACCGTTCACGTGCGCGGAACAAAGTGGCGGACGTGAATGCAACGAGTGTTATCGCTCCTTCCGAAACATGTGAAAGCGGATTGCCGCAAAAGTATTAGCTGCTGACTAACGGTAGCCGTAGGAGACAAGTTTATTATGCGTCTGCTGGTGCGGTGAGTAGTATACGTGGCTGTGGACTAGTGGGCACATGCTATAACGGCGGAATGGCGGTCGGAAACGATCGTTGAATACTGAAGACTCCTCATTAACCAAAACAACTAAACCGTCGCGCGGCTGTCCGCGAACTGCCGTACGCGACTATTCGAGCATCGAGCTTGGCTTGGCATTCCGCGCGCTCCCGAACTGCTCCGAGCGCGCTCGAGAATCCCCGAACATTTTTGAACTGTCCTGAGCGCCACCGAGAGCGCACGAGATTCGATGATGCGCGAAAATCTTACTGGTAGACAAATTATTCACGATCTTTGTTTGTGTCGTCAAGACGTGTCTGGCGTTAAAGCCGATTTTATAATTGAAATCTGGGTATTGCATTTGCATTTGAGATCGATTGAATCCGATCTGGATTAAAATACTTGTTCAACTAGCATCATCGACAGAAGAAATTCGCAAAATTGCGAATGGTGATGCAATAGTGTTGTCTTCTTGCATTTCATTTCAATTGTAATGTTTGTCTTTGTTTTTACCATATAAATTATCTGTAACATTTTTTAACTCAATAAATTTTTCATAAAAATATAGTTATAAAATGTATAATCGAAATGTCTCTGTTATATTCTATTATGTTCTTTATTTTAAGATACTTTGTTATTAATTGTTACAACCGCACATCTCTTAGTGATTTTTTTATTTTAAAATATTCCACTTAAACGTTACACTAACTACGCAAAGAGGGTGATCTGTGCGTGATCAACATACAACCAATCTATCGGCATCTGTTTGTTTCTATAAAGCATGTCTGGCACGAAAGCCTGTTACTCGACAAAACAATGATGTCTTGTTATTATTTTCGTAATAACAATTATCGAAGTTTCTGTTAGCACTTTTGTATCAAATTTCATTTTTATGTGAAATATCTCTCGAAATATTTATTACATATAAAACCAGATTTATTTTGTGCAATTTCTATATTTTTCCAAATTTTACGTTTCAGAATTTTAATACTTTTAATATGGCGTTTTATTTGCGTATCATATATTTTATTTATTTCAGAATATAACAATCAAATATAATATAATATAAATGAATGTTAAATCGGAGAAAGTGAATTATTTTATTCTTTTCTCTAAGAATAATAAAGTACTTAAATAATCGCACTTTCACTGCATCGTTATCAGTTTGCCAGAACTATACTGTTATAAATACTTCTTGAGATAATAACTTTTTGGGTTTCTCCCAAAAGGTTAGATTGGGTTTCTCCCTTAGGCTAGATTTTTCTCAGAATTATATTTTCAGCTTGCGAACGGCTGATGAAATGCAATAAGAAGAATAAGAAGAACAAGTTCACCGTAGGACGTCAGCAGTTCTATTACAGCCACCAATCCAGAAGAAGCACAGAAAGGAGAACACGGCGAGATTAAAACGCATCAAATGCTACAAACGACTTTTATTGTAGCCTTATCTCTAAAATCTACGTCATCGCCCATCTACATATTTCTTTTAGCCGGAACAAACAACCAGTCGAACTAACAAACAGATTCGTAAAACTTTCTTTTTCATGCGAAATATTTCCCTTAATAAAACATCCTTCAATAAAACATCAGGTAATTTTATCTTTCCGTCCGAACCTTTCTAAACTTGCTGACAAAATTTACCTTGAGCTCTTTGTTAGAACGAAAGTTTAGTTTATATATTCATATAGTTTAGTTCTCGTTCGCAGCTTTAACGAGCAATAGCAGCCCAAAGTAAAAAAATCTCCGAAAATATCCTGTTTTTTATTTCAATATTCATTATATTGCACGTTTGCACGGAACAAGCCGACTTTGAAGTCACTTAAAATTTATATACATTACGTCCTAAACTACAAATATATTTCATGAAAAATAATAATTGCAAATAGTTTTTATTATTGCACTTCTCAAAAGACAGAATTGAAATACGATTATTTTTAATTTTCTGCGCTTTTCTGGATTAGCGGCTGTAATAGAAATGCTGACGTCCTACGATGAATTTGTTCTTCTTATTGCATTAATTATTTATAATAATTTCACATTAATCACAAATAATATTTTGAATAAAGCACGAACGATAAATTTATAGTAGAATAAAAAAATCTGATAGAGAACATTAATAATTAAATAACTTAATCAGCAATGTTAAATGTGATTGAAATATTATCATAAAATAGCATAAGTCATTGTTTGTCGAGTCAAACAAACAGGTACGTGTTCTATTACAAGGACTTTGATATCAATAACAGAGTATAAAAATGCAGACAATTATATTTTTCATTATGTAACAATTATGATGAAAGCCTGGATATAATTCCTCTCTCGATCGCTAACGAGACATGTTTTACAGAAGTTTTTAATATGTTATTCACGCCAAGAAACGATAATTCCACGACTTCCTGTATACAAATCGTCATCTTCGTCATAGCGAACTGCGCGGAATTCTTACATCTTGAATCTCACACTGGAAATTTACTTATTTCCTACTAAAACTATTAACACTATTAAGATATTTATTCTACTCAGTGACTTAACTCACCTCTAACTGCCGCAATTAGTATTTTGTCATTGTAACAATTAGTATTTTGTCGTATTAATATTAATGCGCAGTTTGTTCGAAAGAGTCGTACCGCTCTAATCGTTCTGAAGACTTGTAAATCATTAGCGCAAGAAGCCTTCAGCGTGCGTGCTTGTAAAAACGTTTCGTGGATATTTTATGCTCCTCGTGAACGCTCGGTTTAATCTTTGCCACGTCCCAAGTACTGTTGAGCAAATTATTGTCTTGTTACTTTCATCGTCTTTATATGGTTTGGAAATTTGTGTAACAGTGATTATATTAATATTTATCTACCAGAATTTTTTCTTACCAATTTTCATGATTCATGATAGAACAACTGTATTTAGACAAAGGCGGTTTATCTTTCTTGTTTTTCTTGATATGACTTTTAATCAACAATGGGTGGCAACATGTGTTTGGATTTTGGTCTCGAAGAGATATCTTTTCGAAAGAAAGTTAAAGTATATAAATTCTTGAAGATACGTTTACAATGTTGACTAGCGTAGCAGGACGTCTTACCTGAAGATAGGGAGTTTCTTGTGGCATAAATCTGTTAACCATCTGTAACATGACAGATTGACATGCATATGGAAACCATCATTATGCTTTAGAAAGATAATTTCTTTCTGTTTTACAAGCAGTATTAATTTTACAGTGAAACAGTGTTGATTAAAATTTATTTCTTATTTCTAATAACGCTGTTCCAATCGCAAGTTGTAATAAATATTTGTTTATAACGAATTTTTAATAGAATGTCATTATAAAATATATAGATCTTTCGTTGATAACTTAATGATGAGCTTATATGCGCTAATTGTAATATAATTCATTACTTAAAAGCTTTAAGTTGTGTGGTATAGCTATGATTGAATAATATAACTTACTCTGGCAATTAAATACGCTAATAGCACTTGTATAATTATTAAAGTGCTGGTCATGATGTAAGCGACTATGACGATTCTAAAAAGAATAGGACTGATGACTTCCGCGCAGCCGTTCACGTTTATCGTTTTATCATCCGTCATTTCTATGTGCACGCAGGGCGCAACAGCACGCAAGTTACAACAGCTGAAAGGAACTCCACGGTCCCTGTAGTCTTCATCCGATATTTTACTTTGTTCCGCCATTTCCTCTCGGGACGCATAATCCACTCTCTTCCCAGAAAATAAAAAAATAAATAAAAATGGGTAAATTAGTTCTTCGGAGAAAGTTTTGAAGAAACCCTGCAATCCCTATAGTTTTTGTTCGAGATTCTATTTTCTTCCATCCCATTTCCTGTCGGAAGACTTAATTTTCCCAAAAAAATCGTGACTGTGTTATACACAGTAAAATTATTTTTTTAAAGATATCCAGCTCATTTGCCGTTAAATTTATCTAACACAATAATAATTATATTAAAAATAAAAAAATATAGATATATAGAGAATATAAATGTTAAATTATCCAGATAGATAAATAAAATTAATAAAATAAATGGATTATTTCTTCCAAATTTTTGCAGAAACAGATGCTTCCATTAACTGACAATGAGACTGAAGTGAATATAACGAAGCTTACCTGCCAGTCGAAAAGAAACCAATCGGTATAAGATGTGTGACCACAACATTGTAGCACGAATTGGATCTCGTCGATCGCATACTTGTACGACTGCTGCCTTGACGTAAAGCTGCATGGAGGCGTTGAAGACATGGACCAGCGTCTCTCGCCTCACACTGATGTGATATCCTATCGAGGCTAAGGTCGCCGTGTTCACAGCGGCGCACACAACTATCATCATTAAAAGGCACTTCAGCACTTGCTTAGTGTTCGGAAAACTGGTTAATTTGCGCCTGTAATTCATTATTACATTTTAATATGCTGAAAAACTATAATAAATGTTATTAATTAATAATACATTTTTACGTAAATATAATTACTTTCCTATTCGGACCTCTTTAATGTAACAAAGTGCAGTAAGCTATTAAATGAATTAATTCCAACTTGAATAAGTCAAAAATATCAAAAGAAAAGTAGCGCTCGAAGTCAACTGTTTTGCGCGCATATACATCTCGCTTCATTAATCATTAGATAGATGTAAACATTACCTGCGTATGGTGCGTACAGTCATAAGGGCGCACGGTAATCCCAGAGCAACTTCCGCCAAGATGAGGGCGACCGGCTGGAGACCACCTGCTAAGCGGATCACCTGCCATTCTGCAAAAATCTCCAAGGCGAGCACGAAGAGACGCTTCGCCTCGAAGACGGCTAGCGTGAAAGCCACGCCGTAACCGAACTTTACCTCCCATCCGCAGGTGCAATTTATTCTTTTACGGTAGATCGAAGTACGACGGTCTTCCGTCATTCAACGGCTGCACGACACCGAGCCTATTTTAATAACAATAATTTCGTTCCATTATGTTACTTTTCTCCTTTCATATATGTAAAAAGTACGCTACACGTCAAAAAAAAAAAAACGTGCAATATTTTAAAAATAGTATTTGGAAATTTAATTAGTTGATTTAAATAATTAAAGAATTTTATAACATTTACGGCATTAAATAACTTATATCTTTTTCTCGCTATGTTATAAAACTCGCAAGATTAAGGAAAATAACTTATATTGTATCCTTGATTGCAGGAAAGACAAAACTCGCGTATAAATGAATTATAATTATTCACTTATTAATGATGACGGAAATACGTCGTGCGGCCTCATTTCACGACTGTGTCTATTGCTGTTGAACAACAACGTCCTTGTATATAGGACGCTATACTATTTCGCAATGTCGAATTGTTACTAACGAACCGCGCCTTTGTACACTTCTTAGTCATCGTGCATACCGGAAGAAGTGTGCAAACAAAAAAAATTGTTTTGACGAGGAACGATTAGAAGTTCCGGGACTATAATTTACGTAGCGTGCAAATGGATCACGTTCGCATGTGTGTACACTGCATGTGTTCTCGAACAATTATTACAAAAGTGTTATAATTTATTTGTTTTTAAATATTGTCTAATTTATTGGTAGCATAAAATATCCAATTTGTAACTTTTACAGTCTAATTGCAATTTTGTAAATTGCAATCACGTACTCGATACACAAACTCGATCTTATTTATACGATCTTGTTTAATAGCGCAGTTTAACAGTCGTTTTTTTAATGTGTTTAGAGAGTTACATAACATCAACCAACGAGATTGAAAGAGTCAAGAGCAGTTTTGAGATCATCAAAGGCGAAGTTTGATCATTTGTGTCTGCACACGTAAGAATGAATACTTACCAGCAGGCATCGTGCGTAGAACGATAATTTCTCGAATCTTGAAAAGAAGTTTATAGTCGGTATGATTATGAAATGTAAAATGTAAAATATGACGTGAAGCATGTCAAACGTAACCCATGACGTTTTTTTCATTTAGATTGATGTCGATATCTCGATAGCTGACGTCAATGTCTCGAAATTTAAAGTGTGAAAGAAAATTTTAAATAGATAAATTAAATGGATATTATCTACTTTGTAACTAAAGCGTATATGTAATTAATTAATCTATTTTGTCGAAATCTTACAGTTCACAATTTCGGAAGCCCAAGCAAAATTTTCACGCTTGTTTAATGAAAATAAGCAATTTACCTATATCGAATGATCAAATGATCTCTGTAACGATGTTTGTAAATAAAAAATTTAATAAAACTATTTATTTCATTAAATTTTTTTAATAAAACACATTTTATACATACAAAATTAGGTATCTGTACCGTATAAAATGTATGATATAAGAAAATACGTATTTTTACTTATAAAACATAACACCAAAGCGTCGGAATGTAATAATTTGGGGATACCTTAGTATAATTAAAAAATATAAATTATATTGTTAATAATGATTGCACAGAAATATATATGTAATAATTCGTTTGTCAATCGTAATAACTAGTTGAGTGATGACGATAGCAATCTTAATAATCAGTTGAGTAACACTTGATAATCAGTTGAATAATAACGATAATTTAACATGCTAACTGCCAGCGTTATATATGCTTTAAAGACTTGACTTTCAGAAATTATTTTCTTATAGCGTCACGTGTAAATAATATTACGATTATCTAAAACACAGCTATTTCTAATACATTTTTTTTTAAATATAATGCAAAGCACATACTGCATAGCGTGGCTTGTCGAATTTTATAAATTCAGCCTGGAAGCAAACATGTTAAGCAACAGAAATATGAAGAAAACATTTTAAATATTTGCCTTGAAAATATTGTAATACATGCTGCGATTGACATCTGAATAGAATATTGTTTGGAATATTCTTTATCTTTACGTACTACACGTTTACATTACGAAAATTCCAACGTGATGAGATTTCTTAGATATAACTGTCGCAGTTATACTATTACACAAGTCTTACCTTTCGTCACACATCATTGAATACTTCTCATATATTAACTTTTATAAAACTATAATGATACATATTATTTGTCAAGAATATTCAAAGAATACGTACATATTGCAAGGCATACGCCACGTTTTTTGTCTTTTTTTTACTTTTTAGTAGAAATCGGTTTTTGTATTAAGTTTATAATATAAACAATTATGTAAAGTTCGATATTAGCACAGCACAGTTTTCCTTTCTATTAATTTCTGTGATTTTTATATAATTTTGTAAAGTTAAGATTTTTCGATACTCAATCGAAATGATAATGAAAGATATTGACATTTGCATACTTTTCTCCGAATTTCCAAATAGCAAGGTAAGGATAATTTTCCATTAAATAAATCGAGAGTCGCATCAAGCTATTAAAGATTGCGCGGAAAAACGGGGACCACCAAGCGTCAGGTCGCATTAAATTTTTCAACACGAAACATTGCAAGTTGAACAAATACCAGCTGTAAAACGGCATGGTTGAGGTATCTGAAAATATAATATTATATATTATTCATCATATGTAAATAACATATTCTACCTTGATATACATATATTTTATTATACTAATTGTTTCTGTCAAATTTTTTAAATAAAATCATGTAATACTTTTTGCGTTTCGATCACAAGAAATCTTTTACGTAGTTAAAAAGTTATATACATTTTTCCAAATTCAAAAAGTTACCTATTTTGAGCGAGTGATTATTGTTACGCGCAGTTGAAGCAGCCAGATGATACGTGTATGCGGTGAACGCTATTGGTTCGATATTAAAATTGATGGGCCAGAGGCTCTGCAGTAACACGTTGCCCATCTCATCGAAATGTTCGTTCTTGTCCGCCAGAGAAGGCAGGAACACGTCTTCCAACAATCTTTGGCAAAGAGCGTGAGTTTCTTCAACCGTTCCCGTGCAGAGATTAAATCTGAAAGATCAATTATTCATGAATCACATAAGCATATAAATTGAACTATGTTTAATGAAAAACTGAAACATTTCTCTAAAATATAAATGATCAAAAATGTCTCGGAAGATATTAAATATTTTTGTGTACTATCGCAGCTTGTAATTTATAAATTTCATTATTTGTAATTTTATGGATCGTTATTATTTTATATCGTGAGCATTGAGCTTCCGGCAAGCAAAGTTGCAGCTCAAGGTTTCGACAATTTTTACGATTACTTTATTATGGCGCGTGAGACGTGAAAATACAAACTTGTCATCCATCCCAAGCATGCTTCCAATGACCCTCCAGAGATGTACTACACCTTCCATTTCCTCATAAGTGACCTTTAGCCCGAGATGGTCTCCGCTCACCATAGTAAAGCCAATAAATCCGAATTGAGCGAGTGCCATATCTAATTGCGTTGGTTTATGAACACCAGCTTCGGTGCTTCTTTTGAAAGCAACACAATGTTTTCTCCGCACGATCTTCAAGGATTCCAAGAATCTACAATAAGTCACAACAACTGTATTAACATTGAAAAGATAGAAGGAAAAGGTAATTTAGAGATATTCATAGATTTCGTCAATTTATCGCGCTAATTTTATAAAGATATAATTTTACAATCTCTATACCTGGTAATAAAATAACTTGAATATTTTTGCTTCTCTCTGTGTTTCTTGCATCTAGTAACGTTGTTCTTTTCATTCATTCATATTTTATATACTTACTTGTTGGGTTTGTCGTAGGGATCTTTTTCGTGCCACACAAATGTGTGAAGAATCGTCGATGCATACCTGCGATATGCCAGACAAGGGATACCGCTATTTTTGGTGAACATAACTACATCCAATATAGTCCTAATAGCCAGAAGGGATACAAGGCCGCAAAGTTTCGCGATCATCATGGAGAATACATTATTGTAGAAGGCTTGCTGCCCGAGCCGGAATTTTCTCTCATCGTAGAATGACGGCAACTCCGGTTTTACCAATTCGAAACTCATTGGTGTCTCAGCGCCTTCCTTGAGAATGACGCGAAACCGTTCCTCCGTCACATCTAGAAATTTACTTGATTTACTTAATTACACTTTCTATTCAAATATTAAGTGAAAATTATTCCACTTTGAATTTTTTCACTTATATACTGAAAAAAATTGTAGTGTTTTTAACGTATAAACATATGTTTATACATTTATATATGTTATGTCAGTTATATATATATATTTTTGAATTTAATTGTATTTTTTACATGAGCATATAAATTATACACGTTTAAAATTTTTTAAAGAATTAAAATCATATTTCCCCAGATGTCAAATTAGTTTAACCAATATTTTTATTGTTAACTCTATATTTGATCGAAGCAATAGCTTGAAAGAAATTATTATATTGAAATTGTGCTTTGTGTAACATAATCAAGAATTTTTTCAGAGTCACGCTTAACAGAACAAGAGAACGCGTGTAATGACGTCGTGCGGGCGATCGTACGAGTTGATTGTACCTGTTTCGCATGTAGAAATGTCGAAATTAAAGTTAACATCTGTGCATCTAAACGTGAACAGAATTCGAGAACTTGAGTTTCATGAATTTTAACAGTTTGACATAATACATGTCCTATGCATAAATATGTATGACGAGACGCGATGCTTGTCACAGAGCAATTGAAAATAGTGCAAGTAAAAAAAAATTGTAAGTTTGCAGTCTCAATTGTACTGTACATTAACAATAAATAATTTATATGAGTATATAATTTATACAGTAATAATAAAACAATACTCGATAATTTATTCGTATTAACTTTTAGTTAAAGCATTAACTTTAATTGAAAGGTATTTTATTTATTTTTTTCAGGTATTTTATTTACTTTTTTTAGCAGACCTAATTAAATTAAAGTATCAAAATTAATGAGTCAAATAATCTGTAAAGCATTGAAAAATTAATCAATTAACTAATTAATTTTAATTTGACTTTTTTCACATTATTCACGCTTGATATTTAGACATTCGCAATTTCTTTTTATGTTATATAAACCGATTGCAGCACATAGTGCAGCAAGAAATAGTAGATGTCGAGGCCGTGCCACATTCTATGCACACTTTTATTTAACCATTGCGCTTCTCTCATGAATATCGAATGAAAATGAAAGGAATCTTTTCTAGCTTATTTTTCACCACTATGTTTCACTCGTTCAATATGTTCAAGTAGTCTTTAAATACAATTTTTTCTTCAATTCTGATATCTTCACGCCAAATCAAAGAAGTGTAATTTTTATTATTTACTATTTAGATAAATATATTCAATACTTTTCGGGAATGATTTGATATTCTTACAAAACTGTTCATCTTAAAATAAAATTTTTGATGCAAATTTAACGTATAATTCCAGAATGTTATATAATATGCCATATTTATGTCATATAGAAATAGAGTTTTCTATTTCACAAGATTCTTGTGCAAATTGCTGATTGCCTTGAAGCATTCTGACTATAAGATATTTATATTTCTTATAGTTTGTGCCGACTTTTTAATTTTAGAATACTTAATTTATAATTATCTTTTTCCATATTTCAAAAAATATATATTTAAAAAAAATGTTTTAGACAAAATATTGCACCTATAATATTAAGCAATATTTGAAGAATTTATTTTAATTTAATTTTGGATAGCATTGTTAAGATTACACAAAAATCACTTTTAAATTTAAAATGGATACTTTCAGTGATTTATTACACATCTTTATAGTCGACATTCAGTCCATTGTTTTAAAAATAGAACTTAATACTTTTCATTAAAAATGTAAAATATTAACTTTTTAATAACACTATCTTAATATTTTTATACGTATGCCCGTATAGAACTTGATATTCCTGCAACGTTAGGCCAACGTTCTAAATGTTCACAGAAAGTAATGTTAGAAAGTCAACGTTTTATGTATTATTTAAAATAACTGACCTTCCAAAGTAGCATCACTCGATAATTTTTCAATCATCTTGACTACTTTATCTCGAGCACTTCATCGGAGCACTGCCTTGTGATTGAAATTTGATCTTAACAAAAAGACAATAGAATTATGCACTGATTAATTGTCAGCATAATATTTAAAAGATCAGCAGAATTATATATCTGAATGATAAAACTATCAACATATAGAGTACTTGGGATGTGATTGAAGCGTGAAGAATACGTAGACAAAAAGTGACACGACGCGTACTCTTTGTAAGTACCAAACGTACTACCGCTCAAGAACTGTTCCAAGGCCGGAGAGTCAGCTTTGCAGTCATACAGAGAAAGGAATCCCTTCCACTTTTCTTCATTCTTACATTCCCAAAACACAACTGAACAATTTCCATTAAAAGTTGCATGCTCATGCTCTACACGCTGTACGAGTACACGCTGCATGATTTCAAATGCATCATATCTTCTCTCCACAAACTTTTCAAATAGTCGTCACCAGGATCTCATTTCAAAATTGCACTTTCACATTAAAATTCGTATTATCATAAATTATAAAATCAAGAAATTCGATTTGAGAGTGAAAGTTCTGAGAGCTACGACTGAAAGTTTTTATTTGTAGCACGAATGTGAGAAGCGGTATAGAAGAGGCGGCCTCGAGATCATCATCGCTCTCCCGCCTTCTTTCGTTCGTTTACTTTAGCACATTCATCGCAACGCGACGTGTTAATGAAACACTATTTATATAAAGCCTGTCGAAAATCATGTTGAAATTTTCGAATGCAATAGGTAAGAACAACGCGTGATACTGCCTCGCTTTCACGTCTAAAGAAATGAAAGATGCTAATTCCACATGGATGTAAGAACTACGCGGATGCACTCGTTAATGTCGCGATTATTATTGTTGCTTTCGATTTCCGCAAGGAAATGATCAACAAACTTTTTGCACTCATCACCATGTATGCACTACGAATTATGATTTGTCCAAATCATTCTTCGCTAGTAAAGCGTCGTGTCATTGTGATAAATAAGTTTAACACTAGCAGATGGTCAACAGAACTGACTTCGAACACTGCTTGGAAATAGACAGTGCGACCAGCGCCGTCATTGCACGGCTCGTTTGGCATAAACGGAAAGAGAAAGTCCTCCCTCTTTCACTCTTCTCGAGTGGAATTTTATTATGTATCACGATAGGAAGCGCCGAACATGGGTCCATCGTGAGAAATGTAACAGTGAAAGTAGTCACCACGAACAGAGTTATTTGAACAGAGATATTATGGATTTTTTTAATATTATTATTTATAAATATAATATAAAAATATAGAGAACATTAAAGAGACCGTTTGCTTTTCTTTGATCGGCAAAACACTTTTCAATGATATTAAATAAGTTACGCAAGTTAACGATAACCTAATTGACATACTAATTGAAAAAATTTCTTCCACTTATATCTTATCTCAAATATAAATAATTTACTACTTGGAATTATGATTGCATGTCAATAACAATTGTGTAAGAATTATAATAAATTTCAATAAAGTTTTATTTTATGTCAGCAATCAAGTAATTGCAACGAAATATTTTTTATCTCCGTAAAAAATGTCTCTTATAGATTGAAAAACATGTTTATCGAGCGTCACGCGTACATCGAGCATAAAATTAAAGTTAGTGAAAACTTAACTGATAGTGTTTTAACTATTTAGCTTACAATTAAACGGACAACGAAACGCGAAGATGCAAATAGCTATAATACTAGACAGACTTTGGAAAAACCATGTATTATAGAATAATAATAGATTACAATGTTTTCATATGGTAATAATGATATAATAAACCGTAATATACCTGACAATAATAATAAGAATCTAAAATAACACAAATACTGAATACACATTATTAATAATAATGAGAGGTTGGGGCGGCGTCGAGGAAGTTTTGGCAGAGGAACGGGCCAAGCCGCTATCGAATTAAAACAGAAATGCCGTAAATGATGCTGTAAAACGAAATTCTCATCGGCACTCGAATACGCTGCTTTTCGAAGCCTAAAAGAAGCGCTTAAAATCACGCTGTTTCAGTATCGTTATTAAAGATCCGCATTCCAAGAGATACACAAATTTTATTCGTGTCAATAAACTTATAAATAAACGTCCGCCAATACACTAAGCGCCATTGTGTATTGGAACAAAGCAAAAAAAAAAAAACAAAAAAAACAAAAAACAAAAAAGAATAAAATAAAATAAAAATGAAAAACAATATACTCGTTGTATACTTATTCGTAGATAAATAACAGCATTAGAATTGCGAAATCAGAAATCATTTCTATTATACAACATACGTAGGAATAAATTTTACTTTTTGCTGCTTTGTTTAAAATATCTTTCCTTCATCAACAATCGAAAACAGCTTCGCTTTTTTTGCGAGCGATCTGCATTTCAACAAAGTCTAATGTATCAATTGATCATGTGGATCAAAGTTTATCATATCTTATTAACACGCGTCGCACAGCTTCATGAATCTGCGATTATAATTCCCCTTTTATAATTTTCTATTAAAATATAAAATCCGCGCAAAAACACACCCCCGTTTTGCTACAACGTAACTTAACATCATTTAATAATCATTGCTTATTTTGGCGCTTAGTGTACTAAATATAACAATATCTATATCATAAGAAGGGACTCAGGGCGCAAAATAATGTCGCTAATTACACAGCCTTATTCCTACACCGTTCCTGGGAGAATTCAGCTATTCGCAAAATCGTAATTTTTAAAAGTAACAGAGGTATTTTTACATCACATTTTATGCGGCGTTTTATTCTTTTCATTTCTTTCTCTCTCTCTCCCTTTTTTCTTTCTCTCTCTCTCTCTCTCTCTCTCTCTCGTTTACAATTGCACGCGTTAGTCTTTCTGCGGATTGGTCCTTTCCGTGTGATTGTACATAAACAAGTAACTACTCGCGAGCTGAGATCTTAACGTTATTAACGAAGCACCTCGAATACACTGAACAAACACGGCTAATGTCCGGAAATAAAACTCGAGAGGAGGCGATTCTCTGGTTCAGACGATTCACAAGTACATTTTAAAATATCGAAGCATGCGACACGAGGATCACGATAAATGTGCGGTTCGTAAATTTAAATAGTTGCAAAGAGTCTCGCTGCAGTAATTCGAATCGCGTCTCTTAAGACCATTAGCCTGAAGGATACGCCCAGAATATTCGAAGAACGGTGAAATCGTTGAAGAGAAAATATCTCCTGTAAAAATGTCGTTTCTAAACATATGCATATACACGTTCTTAGCTTAACTTGTAGATGACACTCTCCTCCGGCTATTGTTACATTTCACTTTAGTGAGAACTAGTTTTTATAATAAAAACGCAGCAATTGCTTTTTTTTCCCCCCTCCTTTAAAACAACAATTAGAAAAATATATCCGATTATAATCTTTCTTTTTTTGTTATCAGAATTTAAAGATGCATATAAAACGAGCTCACAAGCGAGTCTTACAAACGAGTTGACACATCTGTATAATAACGAAAAATGAATAGAGCCACAGCGTTCAATCGAACGATTTCGCAATTGTTTACGTTATAACACCCTGTTTCGTTTGTAAAAAAATAATACTCAGCTTCTGAGGATAATTTCATAATTCCTGAACAGTCCTCTCAGCCGAAGATTTTCGCACATTGTGAAGTATAAAAATATGTTCTTAACGAAGCCGATCTAAGACAGCCAATCATTATTATTATTACACACGAGTCGTAGCACTAGTTGCGCGATTAAAACCGACTCTTTCCAACTATTTCAATTTAAAAGTGGCAGCTTTATCCATCGCCCCCGTCATGGCAGCGATTGAGTGAGAATTGTTAGAATACAACAACAGCGTATCGTCTACATCGGAGGCCAAACACTATTTTTCGCCGCTTAGAAGACCGTTTGCTAAGCATTTTAGAAATACCGGCGACTACTTAACGCATTAAACATTAGGTTTTTGCTAAAACTATTTCCGCTTTTTGTTCAGCTTGCCGGGGACAAGATCGCGGATGCGCGGTGCGTTTCGACGTCGCTTAACGCATTAAATAGGAAAATAATGTGCACGACTAATCAGTCGCGACTAATCTTGTAGGCGACTAATCATAATTGGGCGATTATGAGCGCGCGATAATTGACCGATTTAGTCTCAATCGGACTGTACGGTGATGCGCGAACCTCTCTTCTTAGGCTGATTAAACTAGCAGAGTATCCAAACCGCGGAGCGCATTTCCACGGTTCGGTCACTACGTTGTGTGGCCCTGTTACGTTTTCTCGACTACGAGAAATTACGGCGAGTACGTGATGGCAGATTCGTCCCCTAGAAATCGCGTAATTGGCATTGAGTATTTGACGCGTCGAGGACAATCGCTCGAACTGAGACGCGAGTGATGAGTAAACATTGAAGGAACTGAAATGCAATCGACAGATTTAGACGGTGATTTTGTACGGACGCGCGTCAGTGAGTCATCGTCCAAATTCTCTTCAATTATAATTCGTTCAATAAGATATCCAAGTGTGAATATTAATTAATAAGGAGAAAATAATAAGAAATCATACTTTCTCGCGCGAGATATATATATCTCTAAATATATAATATGTATAAGTGTAAAGTAATATACAAATTTTACTACTTGATACTTTACGAGAGCAATGATAAGAGTAAAGAACGACTCGCTGACTGTACGTTCCGAGAGGAGTGACTTCGCCGGCGCGCGGCGAACTTTCGACGCGGAACTCCTCCGATTGCTTTGTTAGAAGATAAGTACGAGGATGAGCGGCTAACACATTCTAGAATGAAATGCATCTTCCTTCGTTAATCCTACGGCAACACTCGTTCTGCGATAATTACACATTACGCCGACTTAAAACCTACCAACTCTTCTTAATGATAGACTATCGACAATACCGCTGTATACTTAACGAAGCTGGGTAAAACATTCGTTCACGCATATCAGTTACAAGAGCGAATCCCGCGATCTCGCCGATTCGATCGACTATCACATAGTCCACCGATCGCAAAGATGATTTCGCGATGCATCGGATGTTTCATCGACGCATTATATTCGCTGATTTATGAGAGATAATTTTCCCACGTTTGCATCGTTTAAAAATCTTCAAAAACACACCGGCAGTTTAAATAACAGAATAAATGTCGCCCGACCGTCGCGCTTCGGTGTACTTACCCAGCTTTCGCACTTGGACAAATCCACTTGGCGAATTCTCAATTCGTTTTCGTGCGTTCAGCGTAGGGACGATAAGGCAACGTCCCGGGATCTCTCTCGTACACTTAAAAGTATTTTAATATCACTTTCTGTTCATTCGATCTCCTCCGTTGCGAGATTTTAAAAGCAGGGATTATTGGATAGACGGATCCCGATTAGCGTACGTGATCTTATACTCTCAAGTGATCGCATTCGTCGCTAGAGCGGGTACATTAAAATATCAAGTCATGTAAATTTGTCTTTTTAGCCATACTTTTTAGCTGAATACCCATTAAATTAAATTTACATACATATATCCACTTTATGCATATATTTATATGCTTAATGTGAAAATATATATACACCAGGTCACACAAATGCCTTGACACCCGTGCAACTTCATATGTCAAGGCATTTGTGTGACCTGGTGTACATAGACTTTACAGAAAGATAAGTATCTTCTCTTAAATAAAATAATAATAATTTATTA